AGAACTGGAGGTTTCTCTTGGAACTAGTGTGATCTGTTACAAGCTGCAAGATGTTAAACTAAGTCTTGGTGTTCTGAAGTTTATCCTTGCAAATGAATATAAAATGCAGCAGAGCGAATACTTGTGAAGGGGTCTGAGAGGCCATCAAAGTTCTGAGTGCCATGAGCCCTGCACAAAGGCAGTGTCCGGTTAGCAATCAAAACTGCTTCCGGGTCTGCAATAAGCTGGGGGCCGAGGAGGAGGCTTAGTCTGGAAGAGTTCTGGAATATTCTTTGCAAAGATGGGCAATTGATTATCTGTGCACTCCAGGACCTAATCCTACTTAGATGTGTGATTGGGAAAGGCCACAGAGTACGAATCTTCTGAGCTGTAGACCAGCTACAGGTTCTGTGCCTCTCAAAGACACAGAAGACACTGTCAGGCAGATGGAGGAGGTTGCTGAGCCTGACCAGCATCCATCCAAAGTGCTGGTTCATTTAGAAGATGAGAAGCCAGTGTGCGAAGGGCCTACGGGTCCTTTTAGAATCACACTTTCACTCATGGCTCTGGTCACTGGCAGGAACAAATCCAATTTCAGTTCTCAAGAGGGACTTAAGCTGTCTGAGGTACCAGCGATGTCTTGGGAAGACATAGTTTTGATCCCTTCCTCTCTACAAGTTTCAGTGTCTTAGCAATGTTATGAGGGTTGATTGGGAGGCAGCCCCTTAGGGAGAAACAGCTGTGGGTACTGGTCGAGTGTGCTGCCTGGTAATCTAAGCTCAGGCTGCTCCATCTTTTCCTTTCCATTTAAGCATCTGTCTTTGGAGTCTTTCATCCATTTCCTTTGCCTACCTTAGCCTTGTGCACTTGCCTAAGAAAGTCTGTTCCCATAATTGCTCCCCATCCTGCCTTTTTTTTTTTTTTAAAATTAAAAGCCTTGTCTTCTTATATTGATTCTGACTGAAATATATTTTTGATTAACATCTTCCTTCTATTTTAATTTTTAAAACTTCTGTACTAAGAGCTCTTGATAATGTAACCACATTACTACTAAGGGGAATTCTACTCTAGACTGGACTACAGCGGATACCTTGTCACAGACACCCCACATGGGAAGTGCCAGGATGAGCTTTGCCTGTTTTATTGTATTTTTGCCAATTTGCTACTTGTGAAGGATTTCCTTCGGATACATCTGACTCTTCTTCCTCCTCCCCTTCCTTCTCTTTTCTACTCATCTTCTGGAGAAAAATGAAAGGACCAACAGCAACAATCTCTGCATTGTATCTAGAAAGCTTTATGCATTTGATATTCTAGAACACAGAGTTGGCTGAAGTGAGAGCTGAATTGTTGCAAATTAGTTTGCTGCAAATGGAAGCATCTTGTTGTAAGGAGGGGGCCACTTGTTCATCATGGCCATCCAGAACTGAAATAATTACACAGAGACTTAATTATTTAAATCACTGCTTGGCCCACTAGCTCTAGTTTCTTTTTGGCTAACTCTTATACATTAATTTAACCCATTTCTATTAATCTGTGCATCACCATTAGGTTTTGGCCCACCAGCAAAGTTTCAGCACATCTGTCTCCAGCAGCGGCTCCATGGCTTTTCCATGACTCCACCCTCTTCCCCCAGCATTCAGCTTAGTCTTCCCCACCCAACTCCGTTCTACCCTATCACGGGCTCAAGACAGTTTCTTTATTCATTAACCAATGGTATTCACAGAATACAGAGGGGAATCCCACATAAGCTTCTTGTGGTGAATTACTGATCATTTTCCAATTTAGAGACTAAAGCAGAGAATTCTTTTTATGAGAGAAAGTGCCATAGACTTAGAAACCAACAGTGCACATTTATGCAAGGAATGCGATTATCTGATGACATCACCCATACATCTGATACATATGCGTGTAGGTGCCCCGAGGCCAGAGGCACTGCGTGTCCCTGGAGCTGTAATTCCAGGTGGTTATAATCTGCCAGCATCTAGGTGGTGACTTTTAAGTATTCAGGTAGCACCCCTCCAATCATGAGGTATGTAGTAAGAGGCTACTTGTTTGTTCTCATCTGCTCAGCCCCAAAATAATCACACAGAAAGCATATTATTTGCAATGCTGCTTGGCCAATAGCTTAAGCGTATTTCTGGATAACTCATATCTTAAATTAACCCACCTCCATTAATCTGTGTATCGCCACTGAGGCTGTGGCTTATCGGGTAAAGTTCTGGCATCTGTCTCCAGCAGGGCTACGTGGCTTCTCCTCACTCCGCCTTCTTGCTCCCAGCATTCAGTTTAGTTTTCCCTGCCTAGCTCTACTCTGCCCTATCACAGGCCAAGGCAGTTTCTTTATTCATTAACTAATAAAAACAACACATAGACGGAGGACCTCCTACATCCGAGGTAGACTAGTACAGGAAGAAAGGGGAACAGACAGAGTCTGAAGGTGACCTTTGTGTTCCTTCCTGAGTCCTAGAATAGACTTTATAGGATAGTTTAGTAAGGCAGGTCACCAGACAAGGCTGAAGAATCTAAAGAGTTTTCAGGTCTCTGTTTTGGCTCAGTTGTGCAGACTAACCATTTATTAGCTAATCCTTAGAAACAATAAAATGGTAACAAAAGAAGGCTGTCCTCTCCATGTTTCAAAAGAGAGAAAGAAAAGGCCACTATTCTCTGTGCCTGCCTGTGTTCTCTAGCCAGCGACCAAGTGTATCAAACTATGAACACACAAACGGAAATGATTTCCCAAGGGAGGTCAGGTTTTATTTCCAGCAAGCTCTACAAACAGATTGATCTGTAACCCCTTCCCTTTAGCCCCTAACCATTCTTGGTTGCTTCTAGAATTCTGTATTTGGCACACAGTACCAATGGGACTCACGGCCAAACGCTCAAGCTTTGGAATTCAGTAGATCTAAGTGTTGCCCCCTACTTCATTACTTAATTTAGAAAATCGATCCCCCCCAAGTCTTATTTTTTTTTCCACCATAGAAATGGGAGCAGTATTTACTTACCCTATCAATTTGTGTATGGGAAGCAAGGTCTGAACAGTGTTAGCCCTCACAGTGTGTAGCTGGAGCGGCGTGTGTCTGCAGTGTGTCTTTCTCATTCCAGACTGAGCAGGGCAGTGAAGCCCAGAGTGACAAGTACAGAAATCTGGGTAGTGGCTAAGCACCATTGTAGGACACAGCTTTCTAGGAAGAAAAAGAACATGTGTTGATTCCCCGCTGGTTGGCTTGATGGTCTTGGCTTCCATAAATCAACTTCAGCAGCTTTCCCCCTTTCCTCCTCCCTAACCCTTCTCAAAGCGCTCTCTCTCTCTCTCTCTCTCTCTCTCTCTCTCTCTCTGGTGGAGGCCGGTGCCTCAGAGGCAGCCAGCCAGCAGTTAGCCCAGAGTGGCGGCTTGGTGTGGCTCAGGTTCCAGAGCCAGCATCCTTGGGGTATGTGTCCCCAGGTTACATCTGGACAGGCAGTCAGGGCTGGGCTGGACTGGGTCATACTTTTTCTATTGAAACGGATGCAAACTTTACTAGCTTCTGGGGAGAGCGGGGGGCTTTGGGGATTCTTGGATTTGCTGGGCTGTAAACATTCTATGGGAAAGCGGCCCAGGAGGATCCGCTTAGCTTTCCGCCTTGCACATTGAAGTGATGTTGGCTGCATGCACAGATGTGTCAAGAAAGGAATCCAATTTTCCCTTCCTTCGAAAGAATTTGCCTTGGAATTTAAAGTCCGCCTGTCTGTGTGTATCACAAATGTCTTTCTCTTACTTGTAACCAAGGAATGAATCTTTGGGATTCATTGCAAAACAGAATATCGGATGGGATGGTGGGGAAAGGGGTGGGGCCTTCTGTGGCCTGGGACTGATTGGATGGTGGGGAAAAGGGGTGGGGCCTGCTGTGGCCTGGACTAGGTATCCCTGGCTGAGGCCTGCTCTTTCCAGGAATGCCTATTTCCCATGTACCAAAGATCTCCAGGGATGTAAGTCTGACGTGCTAGTCCGTGCATCATTCCGTCCCCACGCTTTATCTGTTGGAAGAAAGGAAGAAAAAGATTGGAAAAGAAAGGAAGAAGTTGACACAGGAACTCTTCCTTCTGTCTCCATCCTGCCTGGCCTAAATGCCCCAGCAACACTGCCTAGAGGGTAGGAATCCGACCATGGCCTAGCAGGTTTGTAGAATGACTGTGCCTGTAAATCACTTGTGAATCTAAAGGAAACAGTTTCACAACTAAGCACACAAAAGCTTCACGCTTGGGTCCTGTCCTTAGATACTGATTCAATTTGATAAGCAGACACCGACACCTGAGAGGCAAATTGAAAACCACTGCTTTACAACTTTTTTTTTTTTTTTTTTGAATTTTCGAGACAGGGTTTCTCCATATGCTTTACAACTTTTGCACCTATTGACCTGTGTGTACTCTAAGTCCAGCGCCTGGGGCTCTGGGTCTGTGGTATGGAAGGACTTGCTACCGTCTTCGTTTCTGTGGACTGATGAAGGGTGTCTGGCCGTTGGGAAAGACAGACCCTGTGACAAGCATAGAGGGGATAATTGTAAATGATTTCAACTGCCAGAAAGATGATAAGCCAAGGCCCTGCCACAGTGGCCCAGGAAGGAAGGCTGCTTTGGGTAGAGTGGTCTGGGGTAGCCCACTGGAAGAGGTAATATCTGAGCATCAATGATTAGAGTCCATGCACAGTAGGGCTGGGGGAGGGCAGCCCAGACTTGCCACCACAAGGACATATTATTGGTTACACAGCCCGTTAAGGGGGAGCCCAGGGAAGCTGCCTTGACGGGGAGTACAGACTTTTGTCCCAGGCAGCAGCTGAGCTGAGGTGGGGGTCCAGTCTGGGTCTGGTTCCTCCCCAAGCAGTGTATGTATGGTCCAGGCAGTGAGTCTGGAGGTGGTTGGGCAGCCGAACTGGACTCCCTAGCTGCCTGCCTCCTCCTTCCCTCTTCCTCTTGGGAACTGCGGAAGAGCACCGGGCTGATATCCTGGTAAGTGAAACTGACTGTAATTTTTTTTTAATCTCGCAGACGATCTCTCGCACACTCCTCTCCAGAGACAGAAGTATTTGTTTGATGTGTCCACGCTCTCAGACAAAGAAGAGCTGGTGGGCGCAGAGCTGAGGCTTTATCGCCAGGCGCCCCTAGCGCCCTCGGGGCTACCAGCCCGACCGCTGCACTTGCAGCTCTTTCCCTGTCTGTCCCCTCTGCTGTTGGACACCAGGACCCTGGATCGTCAGGAACCAACTCAGACCGGCTGGGAAGTCTTCGACGTGTGGCAGGGCCTGCGCCTTCAGACATGGAAGCAGCTGTGCTTGGAGTTGAGGGCAGCCTGGGGTGAGCTGGACGCTGGGAATACCGAGGCACGAGCGAGTGGTCCCCAGCAGCCACCGCCTCCGGACCTGCGGAGTCTGGGCTTCGGACGGAGGATGCGGCCGCCCCAAGAGCGCGCCCTGCTCGTGGTGTTCACCAGATCCCAGCGCAAGAATCTGTTCGCCGAGATGCGCGAGCAGCTGGGCTCTGCCGAGGCGGCGGGAACCGAGGGGTCATGGCCAGCGCCCTCGGGTGCCCCAGACGCCGGGCCTTGGCTGCCCTCGCCCGGCCGCCGGCGGCGACGCACCGCTTTCGCCAGCCGCCACGGCAAGCGACACGGCAAGAAGTCCAGGCTGCGCTGCAGCAGAAAGCCCCTGCACGTGAATTTCAAGGAATTAGGCTGGGACGACTGGATTATCGCGCCCCTAGAGTACGAGGCCTATCACTGCGAGGGCGTGTGCGACTTCCCGCTGCGTTCGCACCTGGAGCCCACCAACCACGCCATCATCCAGACGCTGATGAACTCCATGGACCCGGGCTCCACCCCGCCCAGCTGCTGCGTTCCTACCAAATTGACTCCCATTAGCATCCTGTACATCGACGCAGGCAATAATGTGGTCTACAAGCAGTACGAGGACATGGTGGTGGAGTCCTGCGGCTGCAGGTAGCGGTGTCGTCCGCCGGAGCCAGGGACCATGGAGGGAGGCATGACTGCTGAGAGACGGAGCTGGAGCTGGCCTGAAGAGGCCACAAGTCGGGGACATCATAGAAGTAGGAGCAGTGGGAGAGGAGGCAGCCCAGCCCTCCCAGAATCTTCCACTCGCCAACCCAGAAGCAGCTAAGGGTTTTTTTTACACTTTGCCTGGCCACCCTGGAAAGACTAGACAAGGATTGTTTTCTTTTCCTTTTCTTTATTACTATGGCTTTGGGTTTTGTTGTGTCTCCTTGATTTTGATAGGAGATGGAAGGTGGAGGAGAGATGGGTATCTGTTCCCAAATATTCCGTGGAAGGGGGTGGGGACACGAGAGAAAGAACCAATCGCTTTTCTCCGCATCTCGGACTTGTTGCCTCTTCCTGTGAGAGAAAGTGGGGTCTTTGGGTCTTTCCAGCTACGTCATAGCTGACGCCCTTGACTTCTGCGCAGGAAGTATTAGGAGAGTTGGTTAAAGGAACAGGGAGTAGGGAGGGATCTTGCCCTTTGAGAGCCCCAGAGACCTGGGCCCAAGCTGCCGCCCTGCTCTCCCATGAGTTTATCAGCTCTGTCCTGGCCTCAGCCAGCACAGGGAACTGGGAGCTGCCACTGCTGTGGACTCAGGCCTCCGGATGCCTTTACCTTTGCTGGTGGGGAAAGGAGTTGGTATGGATGGAATGACAGGAATTAGTCCCTGTGGAACCCCGTGAAGGATAATGAGAAACCACAAGGCCCAGTTCTGACCCGGTGACAGGGAGGTGCAGTACCCAAGGCTCCAAGGAGCCCACCCCAAAAGATCTTCGTCTTGTCTGTTTCTCATTGATTTTCTTTAAACAGAATTTGTCAAAATTCCAGCACCTCCTTCTAAGGGAAACTTTTTTTTTTTTTTTTTAATGGCGAGGGGTGGGAACTCTGTAATTAAGGTAAGAAGGAAAGAGGAGGAAAGACCTAAGAAGCGGGCTCCATCAGGAGGGGAGATGATGGCCCCGGAGGAGGATGGAGATAAAGGGCCAGGCCCCAAGCAAGGGAAGGATGAAAGGGCCAGGAGCCTCTGCCTCTGAAGTTTCTAAAAATTAAGACCCCTCCCCTCTTTCTGACATTCCTGAGAGATTACCAGCCAGCAATAGCCCAGGGCTCCCCCTAGAGAATTGTTTTAGATTGTAATTACCAGTTAGGTGGTTTTTTTTTTTTTTCATAGTAATGAGATACTGTGAAGAGTCAAGGGTTACACTGAGCTTGGGGTGGAAACTGGGGTACAGGCCTCAAGGAAAGAAACCAGAAGGAAGCAGGAGATACCTGCTCCCAGGTAGTCAAGACCTCCTTCCTTCCCTCAGTCTGGACCAGGATTATTTTTTAAACATTACCCAGGTCTACCTTTGAGAAGTAGGTGGCCTCAGCCTTGTTTGTGGGATAGTTTAAATGGAGAAAGGTGTGTTAAAATTTGCCGAAGGTTTTGGGGTGCCCCGACTGGTTTGTTTTCTCCCTATCTGAATCCTGTTGCTTGTCTGGGTCAGAGATCTGCAGACTGTCGAGGAAAGGGTGGAAATGCTAATACGTGGTAATATAATGGAGAGAGAAGAGACAAGACTTGTCCAGGAGAACTGACTTAAATGCACATTTGCTTTGGATGCACTGTTGTTCTGTTGAGGCTGTATATATTTGTTTATTTAAGATGACTGCAGATGCCAAGAGAAGCCATGCAATCATCTTAATGTACAAAACGTTATATGCACTCAAATGTTATAAGTTCTAATATTTTTAAAGTTTATATTCGAGTTGTACAAAGTTAAGCATTAATCAGATATTTCATTCTTTCATAATGTTATCGTTTTCTTAAATATTATTATAAAAATTTAAATCTGTCTAACGGAGAGCTTTTCTTTTGGAACTGTCTACCTCACTATAATACAAAATTTGACAACACTAACGTTGCCAGAGGTCGATTGATATCCAAAACATTTTTATGAAATACTTCCTTAGATGATGCAGAATCTGGTTAATACCATCTTATTAAACTCATTTTCCCCTTAATAACTGAGCCTGGTTTGTGTGGATCTATAGAAATCATTATCTAAAGGCTATTATTGTCCCCAGTGTTTTGTTCTCACACCAGACAATTGGAAGACACTATTGTTTTAAAGGCCAATGGTATGAGCATTATTTTTCTTCAAAACTGTTCAATAATTGTTGAAATAGTTTTTTTATTCATAAAATTAAGGTCAAACCCTGGCACGCTGTTAACACCGTTGATAAACCCAAGCCCCATCACACAGTCTCCGGATCAAGGCCAGGACCTCCTGCAGGCTGAGCCTATGCTCAGCAGTTAGTTGCATGCAGTGCAGTTAGTTGCTCTGCTCAGTTCCTTTAATTACTGATTACAGCCCACATCGACTATTATCGCAGGCAGTACAGACAATGTGTTTTTCTGTTTGGTGTTTGCTGCTCATTGGGGAACTCGTGGACAAGTTCAAGTCTGAGAATTCACCGTAAGTCAGACACAGGGCTGTTGAACCTGTGTTAACCCTAACCACTCAGAAACCCCACCAAGTAGGTATCATTTTAAACTCTTTGTACAAGAGTAACTGAACTGTAGAGAACTTAAGAAGCCTGCCTTGACCATCCGGTCAAGCTGTGGCTGTTCAACTCAGTCTTCTGAACCATGGAACCCAAAGATATTCTCTTTTTTAAAACTTATTTTTTGTGTTTAAAAAGATCTTTTTTTATTTTACATATTAATCCCAATTTCTCCTCCCTCCCCTTCTCCTCCCACCTTCTCCCACCTCACCCACCATCCAGTCCTCAGAGAGGATAAGGCCTCCCATGGGGAGTCAACAAAGTCTGGCACATCAAGTTGAGGCAGAACCAAAGCCCTCCCCCACTGTATCTAGGCTGAGCAAGGTATCCCTTCACAGGGAATGGGCACCGAAGAGCCAGTTCATGCCCGAGGAATAAATCCTGATCTCACTGCCAGTGGTCCCACCAACTGCTCAGTCCACACAACTCTCACCCACATTTAGAGGGCCTAATTCAGTCCTATGCAGGTTCCCCTGCTGCCAGTCCAGAATCTGTGAGCTCCCACTAGCTCGGGTCAGCTGTCTTGACCCCTTTGCTCATATCATTGCTCTTCAACTGGACTTCGGGGGCTTGGTCCAGTGCTTAGCTATGGATCTCTGCATCTGCTTCCATCAGTTGGTTCTATGATGACAATTAGGGTGGTCATCAATCTGATTACAGGGGAAGGGCAGTTCAGGCACCCTCTCCACTACTGTTTGGAGTCTTAGCTGGGGTCATCCCCAAGGATGTTCCTGTCTACTGGTGCCCAGATGCCGGCATGAGAATGCATAGTTAGCCACAGTGTTAAAGGACTGGTGATTGGCAGCTGCTGGCTGGAGCTGCCACGCAGGGCTAGCAGCAATGCTTGCAGCAACACTTGCGTCTCGTAGCACGTTGCCCCAACTGGTTTGCACATGGTGACAGCTCAGACAAAGGCAGCTGAAGAATGCTAAAGGAGTTACACTACCCAGAGTTGCTAGCTTTGCACTGTCCAAAAGCAGTGATCCTTTAGGTCATTCCCAGGCACTGGCATTTCCGAGATGTGGCCACTGCCTTGGTTGTGATTTTGTGGGTTCTGGTTAACAAAACAATGATCAATTTACAAACAGGATGTTGCAGAAGATTGGTTATATAGAAGAAGGGTGTTTAAACTTTTCTCCATGGAATCAATGTCAATGCAGGTTGTTTTCCAAGGAACCGAGAATTTTTCACATTTCTATCAAATACCCAAGTCCCCTGACTTCCCAGTTCCAGCCCCAAGCCTTACTTTATACATGCCCGCCCCAATTTTCCCTTTCTGCACAAGTTAGATTTCATTCTTCCCTCTATTAGAAAGCTTATGCCTTAACTTGTAGAAGCTAATTGAATTATCCAAAGATGTAAACATATCTTAGTTCTTAACAGTAGTGATTTTGCATTTTTAGAAAAACCTTGCTCCATTTAATTTCCTCTGAATAATAATAATTATTATTATAATAAAGAATTCTCGGCAACACATTAGAAACTTCAATGTATAAACCAGTTGGTCACTGATGATACATGGATGAATGGAGGCACTTGTCACAGGGGAATTTTTGTGTAATGAAAAAATCAATTATGAGCATTTTATTTCATCTTTGTCATTGGGAAAAGTTCTCATCATGTAGTCCAGGCTGGTCCTGAATGTATGGTCTTCCTTCCCCAGGCGCTTAAGGAGTACACTAAATGAATGTGCTCACAAATTCTGTTTACAAATCTAGCTGTAGCAATCACATTCAAGGAAATGTGTGCCTAATATCTCTTTAACACGAGTTGAATGAGTCTGAATGAGTCAGCTTTTCTTCCATTCTAGAGGATGGAGAGAATGACTCAGTGTTCAGGACTATGCACTGCTCTTCCAGAGTGCTCGCTCTCTCTCTCTCTCTCTCTCTCTCTCTCTCTCTCTCTCTCTCTCACACACACACACACACACACACACACACACCAGGACCATCTGTTCACACACACATGCGCACACACACCAGGACCATCTGTGCATGCACACACCACACACACACACACACACTTTAAAAGATATTAAAAGCTAAGTAATTGTAGTTAAAGACTTAGTAAATGTCCCTTAAATCTTGTAGATTGTTTTTTAATCATATAACCCAATTTTATTTTAAAATCCTTCAGCATTTTTCTAAAAGAAGAAAAAGCAAAATAAATACTTCTTATATACTCACAATTTTTTATATAAGTTAATAAAGTCAGTTTTTAAGGATTAAATAACTTTATATGGTTATTATAAATTACAGTAAGTATTCCAGCTCTGTTTGTATCTTTTGACTAGACACCAGAAACCCGATTAATCAATTACTCTTTTAAAGTCACAAGAGAGGAAACTCCTTACATACTTTGAGAACTCCACTTCTTATACACACATATTACTTTATAAGTGCTTTAAGTACCAAATATACGTAAATCATCTCATTTCAAAAACCATTTTTTGACTTTAGTATAGAAGTATTGATATTTAGATCTCACTTACTTAATTTTTTTTTTTACTACAATCTGAAATTTCTTTGAGTTAAAAACATTAACCAGCTAGTCACTGTGGTCCATGCCTACAATCCATCACTCTGGAGGGTGAGGAAGAAAGAGAAAGAGTTCAAGACCAGGGGTTGCAGAGGTGGCTCAGAGGATCTGACTGCTTGTTATGGAAGCATGAGGACCCAAGTTCAAACCTGTTTATCTTCCACATGAAAACCAGCCTACACCCTCAGCACTCTGAGGGCTGGGGGGGGGGGCTCTGCTGCTGTAGGAGGACTGGCTGGGGGGCTCTGCTGCTGTAGGAGGATTGGCTGGGGGCTCTGCTGCTGTAGGAGGACTGGCTGGGGGGCTCTGCTGCTGTAGGAGGATTGCTGGGCCTTGCTCTCCAGTCAGCTTAGCCAGAGAAACATGGAACTACTGGTTCAATGACAGACATTGTTGCAAAGGAATAAGGCAGGGAGTGACAGGGCAGGACACTCAAATATTGTTTTCTGGCCTCTGTATGGTCGGCACATGCATACACATATACCATGTGCATATGTACACACACACACACACATGCACACACACTTCAAAACCAGCTTGATTATAGATCAAGACAATGTAAATAAGCAAACAAGCAAGCGATCAAATGCAGACTTTGCCCAACTAGTCCACTCCTAAAGAATTAAAATGTCACGAGAAAGCCCAATTCAGCACACAGTGGTAGCAAATCTGCCTGAGAATTTGGTCAATTAAAAGAAGTGAATTTTCCCTCTAGTCAACAAATCAAGTCTCCTCTAAAAGTCACTAAAAGATCAAGAACTCTGAATCTCCTGTCTTTCAGTAGTTCCTCTCTGAGATTTCAGACAGATGGCTTAACTTTTTTTCCTGTTTTGAGTAACACTCCACATGCAGTGTGTATCAAGAGGATAGCTAATTTTTCTCACTGATTGACTTCTCAGACTCTTCTAGGTTTCTTTTGGATGGTTTTACTATATTAAACTAGGCAATTCTTATGTACAGTTCCTCCATACCTCTTTTAACTTTATCACCAAATTTTCTTAATCATAATTCCAACCTTCCCCTTATATTTTCCCGTGGAGAAGACCTACCAAGCACACAGATATTAACATGAAAACTGCCTGCTTCCTGCTCACTTCCTGCCTAGTTTTATGGTCTCCATCCTAAAGCTGTAATTGTGAAAACATAGTCCTGTGCTCAGGAGTTCAGCAGCTATTTTGTGAGTTACCACTGTGTGGCAGGCACTGTTCAAGGCTCTGGGAAACATCTTTGTAGAAGACAAGATAAGAAAATGCAGATCTAAAGCTGAACTTCCATCATTTCCCAGGCTCCCAGAAGTCACCCCCTCTACCTGCATCCTGATTGCCATGGCTTGTTCTTTCCAGCTCATACATCCTTTCAAAGTTCAGTCTGGTTCCTGCTTTATTCCTTCCTTCAGAAGTTCAGCAGAGATGAATTGACCAAGTTCACCCGAGAAAATGGCACATGGGGCTGCCCTCTCTCTCCTCCTGCCTGTTGAAATCACTCAGGTAGCCATGGTTATCTACAGTGGAGTATTCACTTGTCTGTGTTGTGAGAATCTTAAAATCCTGGAGGTCCAGGGTCAACTGTGGAATGTCTCCCAAAGCCTGGGAGAAGTGGAGAGAAGTGCAGAGAGGATTTGTTCTGAGCTAAGTGAGCATCTCCCTTTCCATGGCTACCGATATTCATTTGATGCTGGATCAGGCCCAGCAATGCTGAGGGAGATGCAGGGCTGTTCGGGGTTGATGGCTCAGCTCAGCTTTAGCTACAAGAGAAAGAGCTTCATCTGTTCACTTTAAAACTTCTATTCAGAAGGAGCAGTCTTTTTCTCTTAAGAATGTTTGGTTTAGGCTTAAACACAACTGTGTATTGACTTTAGGTTTCATCTTTTCTTAGAAATCTGCGACTTTGAGTTTGTCAGTGCTGAGTTCTTAGGT